TCAAAAAGTATGAAAAGTACTTAAAAAGGTTCACTTATAAGTACTTTGTCCTGCTTAAAACCTACTATTGAAAGTACTTAATAGTCACTTTTTTGGGTAAAAATTTTTACATGGGTGATATTTCAAGTTTTTCTCTCCGACTTTTTAAAAGTATGAGCGATGCATACTCCTTCATCAATGGTGAAAAAAAAACAATCATTTGTAATAGAATGAAAGAAAAAAACATTGCGTCATGGTCAATTTTCTTTCGTATTCTGTGTAAGATTCTACCACTGTTGTAAAATACCCTGTTTTTTTCTTCTTCATTTCTATCGTTATACATACGCCCTGTTACTCTCTTGCTGGAGCTCTTCAAATTTCTCAACGGTATTGATCGTCTTCGTTCATTTTCGACCTATTGATTCAATTTTCGATCTACATCTAAATGTGACTTCGATTTAGCACTTCAACAACATTTACTATTGACCATCGTTGGAGTTATTCCACTTTACCTTTCTGATCACGGCGGAACTACAAATCTCGTTAATGATTCTCTTATTTCTACAGTTCCACTCTCCATCCATTCACTGATTTACAACCACTGACACTTTTCCACATCGATTTTATTGAGAAAAACAACACAATCTTGAATGAAGCTTCGTATCTAAGTCAATCCATCTGTCTTTGATCAAATGTTGCACTCGGCGTACCAACGATCTGCCATCTACCTATGCTCAAGTATTGTGATCTGGGCTGTGGCATCGTACATCAATCCACATTCTCGAAATCGATAACCATCTCATGATCAATCGACTTTTTTTCGATACTAATTTTCCAATTTGACAACAAAGATTTCTCGAATCTATTCAAACACACACTTCGACTTCGTCATCTTTATGCGATTCTTTTCTCTGATCTCAGTAATGATGTCTCTATTTGAAAATGCATTGAATTTAAGTCATTTAACAGTTGATCCATCGGATGCTGTCTTGAAGAGTGACAATAAGAGAAAGAAATTTCAATACTAAGAAAAAAATTATATAAAAAAAGACAACATGATATTATTTTTATAGGATATTTCCGTACTTAATCAACCACCAAAAATTCAAAAGTACTCAGAAAACTTTTCATTTTAACGGACCTTGTAGAGTTTTTTTGCTGATCATTTTAATAAAAAAATATTTTGGATGTTATTGAGAAATAACCATATTATCGTCAAAATATTAAACAATGTCAAATACCGGAAGACTCAAAATATTTTCAACATAGTTTGTTTTGCGAATATCTCCACAGAGATAAACAATAAATCTTTTTCTTTTTTTACAATAAACAAATTCCTATCGCAAAACAAAAGAGTTAAAAAAAGTCTTCCAAACATTTTTATTAGTATTCTGTCTATTTTTTATGTGATTTCTTTCTTAGCACTGAAATTTGTTTTGCTGATTATATTTTATATTCAAGGATTTTTCAAATTGAATAGATGCATATAACAAAAACGTTGTGCAAAACTCTTGACCTACACTGTCATTATGCGTATAGCAGTTCGCCATGTCTATGAACTTCTTTGATAACACCGTTTTTCTTTTGATTACGATTTACTCGTCCATTTTCTCCCTATTAAACATCAATATATATCAGACGCAATATACTCAAACTGTAGCATTTATTTGTTTTATGTTGAACACAAGAGTTTATGTGAATTTCACATTTTAGACTCATTATAAGCTACACCTATAAGTTTTTCTGATAATTTTATTGACACAACAGACGATAGAGACAGTGATCAATGTCCAGCATCCGATGATGGTGATGGTTGTTCATTCACTAATCCTCTATATGCAAGTGAACGTATTCGTGGCAAACTTCGTCTTATTCTAACAATAATTATAACGGTAATACTAACAACACCGAATATAACAAATGCAATAGATATTCCATGAACAATTGGAAAATAGCGTAAAACTTTTTTATGCAATTCATTTGCTATCTTTTGATCGATTGTTCCTGATTGATTTAACCATAAAGCAGGTAATATAAGATCATGTAAGTTTTTAAGATCATCAAATAGTGGATCATATTGTATAAGAATATTAAGTTGAAGACGCTTTTGTGCATTTAATACGTATCCGGTAAATGGTTCAATCTCTAATACAGTTCGATGAATATCGGCGTTAGGCATTAATCCATTTATACGTGATTTATATCTTTCAGCAGCATAGAGAAAATGTGGTAAAGAGATAATTATAGGTGCATCTTGTTTACATTTACTAACATCGAGTACACCTGAATCAAGTGTGCCAAAACCAACATTATCCGGGTTGATAGTACCATTGTAAAAGACTTCGGCTGGTATTGAAAAACTTTCGGTTTCTATATTGAGTACCGATGAATGATATTCAAATGTAATATAGATTGAACGACAAATTTCGGTGGAATATAGATAGAGACGTTTATTCACAGATGTTAGTGGTGGAAACCAATTACCATCTGTACCATTGATTTGATTACATGATGGCGTATGCCAGTAAGGTAGAACTGAGATACCTGTAATAATGACGAGAGTATCAAACTAGATTTCCTACTCGATTCGATAAACTGTATATCAGAGTGCAAGTTCGATTTTCAGTCCAATCAATGCAGAATATTTTCAAAACTATTGACAAATAGTTACCGAGTGTGAGTGTGGGTTTGAGTTTGAAAGAATTAAAACTTCACAACCACACCTATACTCTATACCTACGAATAAAAGTGTGCTATTTATTCCATACTAAATCCCTTATGATCTTCTAACTTCCCAAGGACACCCATAAAAACTGAGGATTTATTCAAATTTTAAATCAAATGAATCAACGTCATGAATCATCCTTATTCTTATAGCAGCACTCTCCTTTATTTGTATACGATTGGAGTTCAAATACTGCATCTTACCATTCCATTTATCGATATAGTTCAATCGATTGATATCATCTTCGCCTAGATAGAATTTTGTTTATCATATAATCATCTTATATTTCTCTTGACATATCTTACCTGTAAAGACTGTAAAAATTCCATTGTCGGTATTGTTCTGTCTGTAGAAATATCCAAAGTGATCATCGGGTACAAATTGTCCAACAATAGGCAAACGTTTGGCTGCTTTTAATAAAGGATCTTCATAACCCCAGATCCATTCACGAGCTGTATGTGTAACAAATAATGATTCATTGAATACTTTTGCAATAAGATTAATCAATTCGTGAGTAATGTTCGACAAATTATGAGAAAGTGCAAGAAGTGATATAATAGACGTATTCATCATTTTTATCGGCAATTCTTCATCATTCGATGACATATTTCGTTGAAATGTATATGATACGGGTTGATGATAGCTGACTGTATGATTTAGATTGAAATGGACATCTATTTTGACTCGTCTTTTCAAATAGGTAAATGGACCATGTTGAATAAACATAGGTTTAAGACCTTGTTGAACAACTTCGTCTACATTGACACATTCCCATAGCCAAAATTGTACATAGATAGGCACTGGTGATGAAATCCATGAATCGAGTTGATCGGAGTCAGTACTCAGTGGTAATTGTTTGTTAATTTGAGCTTTAAGGAGCTCTGTACCAAAAACAATACCTACACTGATAAAAATATCCGGGGAATGATCTACCCCTGCACTTAAAAACTTCGCCTATAAACTCTTCGAGGGTTTATTCCTATGTGATGAACCCTTTAAACGTTTATCAGTCGAACCGTTTATGAGATTATGGGTTTATGAACACACAATGGGTTTATGAAGGTTACATAAGGGTTTCTTATTCTACGATTTTAAGGTGAGCGTATGTTGTTCAACTGATGAGAGTAGATCATTGTCCACCTTCAGGGTAAGGGTATTTAATTATTCGGTTTTGGATTTATTATTCTACTTTCTCGTTTGAAGGGAATATTACTCTGCCTTTCTAGGTAGAGTATGCTACACTTCCCAGAAACAGTTCATTATTCTACGCCTTAGGATAGATCCTTCCACTGTTTCGTTGAAAGGGTTTATTATTCTACGTTTAGAGATTTATTTTTTCACTACTTCGTTGAAACGGTTTATTACTCTACCGAAAGCGGTAGATTGTTCCACCCCTTCGCAATAAATGGTTTATGATTCTACGTTTAGAGGTTGATTCTTTCACTATTTCGTTGAAACGATTTATTACTGTACGAAAAGCGGTAGATTGTTCTACCCCTTCGCAATAAATGGTTGATGATTCTACGTTTAGAAGTTGATTTTTTCAGAATTTTTTAAAAACGGTTTATGATTCTGCGGTGAGAGGTTTGTTCTTCCAACATTTGGTTGAAAGAGTTTATTATTCTACGGTAGTATAAATAGTTTGTTTCATCTGATCCTTAAAAATGATTTATTATTTTTAATTCAATAATGATTATGTTTCAGTTAGCATAACAAATTTGATTGATACATAGTTGTCAGTAAAATTGGGAACGATAATTATAACACTAGCTATCAGCGTCTGTTAGAGCTTCGCTAAATATAATGGTAATATGAAGTAACTGAAACACATCTTTTTTATCTGGAATTGTATTTGAAATTATTGATTATCGATTTTCTGTGATAATTCTAAATGTTACGAATAGGTATCACCATTTATCGGAATTTTCCGTGCTTACATGAAGCAGTAAGTTAAACTAGACTATTTGATCGAAGATAAGAATTTACTGATATTACTTCCTGTGAAGTTCTATGCAGTGCTTCTAGTAATGGATGTACACCATTGTGACAAAGTGT